ATATAATTACTTTATATATAATTATTTATATTTTAGTATTATATATAAAGCTATTAAAGCTAATTAAAAAAAAAATTTATTTCTTGTTTTAGAAAAGCATTTTATTTAAATAATTAAAAAAGCTATTACTAAAGCTATTTAGAAAGGCCAAGGCTCTAGTAACTATTAATAATTTCAAGTAAGATATTATATTTACTAAAAAGTTCGATTCTAAAATAAATGCCAAAATTTAAACTATTTTGCTTTCTTAAGATAATATTATAGTGGGGTTTTTTCTCTCTTGTCCCGTGACTACCGTCACGTGTCCTGCTTCCCAGGCATGCTGGCGCTAGTTTAAGGGGTTGCATAAGATCTCCGTCCATACGTACGATTAGCCTTCCCAATACATCAACCTTCGGAGCCCCTTATTTTTGACCATTCGTATTATTTCGTTACTGGTACTGAGAGTCTTAAGATTATTACTTCTACTTATTTAGCTTCCTACCCTCTTTACCTCCACCCACGCATCCAACGCCTATATATGGTCCGAAATCCATATAATAATCAAATCCCCATTATAATATTAGTAAATATCTGGGCTTCTAGCTACTTAATTTAACTTATATTATATATATAACTAACTAATTTTTTTGTTTTAAGTTCGTACTAGTTCTTATTAAATATATACTAATTTAGATTAAAGAAAAAGTATTATATATAAAATAAAAAGAAATTTAATATTAGTTTCTAATTATTTCTTTATATTAGATCTAGATATTAGTCTCTTATTTATAAGGCACTTATATAAAGCAGGTCTTAAAAAAGAAATTAGTTGTAAGAAATTATATTTTAGATTTAAAATAAAAATAATTATTAAAACAAAAATAATTAATAAACTTTATTTTATTTTATATATAATATTAGAAAAAAAGAAAAAAAACAAGTTATATTTATATTAACTAAAATTAATATATTAAATACTAATTCTCGCAAGTAGCTAATTATAAGGCTATATAAAGGAAATTAAAAATAAAAGTACTAAATAAGAAAAAAAGAATTCAAACCCTTTAATTATTTATTTATATTAGACTTTAATAGAAGTACTTACTATTACTAGATATAAGCTTATATATAAGAGATTTAGTTATTTTAAATTAAATAAACTATATTATTTTTACAAAATTATAACTCTTAATAAAATAACTTAGATTTTATATAATATTAAACTTTGCGAGATTTATTTTTTAATAAAAAAAAAATAAGATCTCGAAAACATTTAGTTTATAAAAGATTATAATTTTAGCTTTAATTCAATTTAATATAGCAAGTCTATTTTCAATTTCTATTAATAGCTATAATTACTTTATTTTTATTTTTAATAATATAATATTAAATAAATAAATCTTACTAACAAAATTAAAGTATATAATTATGAAATACTTATAAACTTAAAAGCTTAATATTAAATACAAGATAAAGAAACTAATTAAGGAAATATAATTAAATAATATCCCGGAACTTTTAAGGTAATATAAGACTAAAAGATTTATAAAGATATGAAATTATAAAGTATAATAGTAGTATTATTATACTAGAATAAACTAGCTAAAAGAAGTATATAAACTATAAAGAATAATATATATACTTTATTAAAAGAAGCAAATCTATTACTAGAGTTTTGAAATAAATTTATTAAAGCAAATTATTATATTTGAAATTATATATATAATAAGCTAAAGCTAAATAATAAAAGAATCTATTCCAAATAAGTATTTTCTAATAAAAAGCCAAGAATTAATTATATTCAAATATAGAAATATAAGTGCTTCTTTTATAAAAATAAGAAGTTTATAAATAAATATAAATATAAAAATAAGCTTATTAATTCTAGGTAAATAAATATATTTATAAAATATAAAAAAGAAATTATAAAGTATTTTCAAGTATATTTTCCAGAATATGAATAAGTAATTAAATATAATATTATATAAATTAATTAACTTATTAAAAGAAGTATAATTAACTTGTAATTATAAGGCTCAAATAGCTTATATAATATATCAAATATAGTAGCAGATTAATTAGTAATTAGCTAATTAAAAAAATATGTTTCTTTAGTAAAAATACTTATAAAAAAGCCAAGTTCAATTTTATAAATAATTATTTTATTATATTAAGGCCCAATAAATGTTTTAAGCTTTATAAAAGCAAATATAAAAAATAGTAATACTAAATTAATTATTTATAAGAAATAGAATAATAATAAGCAAAATGCTAATTCTTATAAATAACTAATTACCGGATTATAAAATAACTTAATTTCATTTCTTGTTTTTAATAATATAAATTAAGCCTTAATAATACTAATATTTTAGATCTTTATATATAAGAAAGCAATTATATAATTATTAGCCGCAAATATTAAATCTAATAATTCTATTTCGGATATTTTAAAGATATAGTAATTAATTAACTAGATATAAATATTATATTAAATATAAATATAACTTACTAATACTTTATTAGATATTTTAAACGAAAAAGAAAAAAAGATATTAAGAAAAGTAAGTATTTAATAAAGGTTATTCGAGTTATAATTATTTATTTTTAGAATAAAAACTAGATATTATTAAATAACTAGCTAGTAATAAAAGAAATTCTTAATTATATACTTATAATAAAAGTAAAGACTAGAATTCTAATTTCAATGTTTTATAAAAAAGTAATAAATAACCTTATATATAGCAAGTTTTAAAAGCAAGTAATTATAAATAAAATAATTTAATTCTTAGAAAATAACTCTTAAAAAGAAGTTCTTTTTTTAAAAGAGGCTAATTTAGTTAATTATAAATAGGTTTTTAATATTGAACTTATTATTAATAAAGAAGTTAAATAATATAAAATAAAACTAATATACGAGAATTTATATAAATTAGAAATAAAGATTATAACTAGATATTTACTTTAATAATAAAAATAAAAATATTCTAACTTTTTCTAGTAATAATTATTAAAGAAAACTTAAAGTATTACTAGTTTAATATTAAGAATATATTTTTAGAATTATATTTAAAGAAAAAGATTTATTTAAAGCTTTCTTGAAATATAAATATTAAGAACGGATTTATACTTGAGGTACTATAAAACTTATATAAACTAAAGCAAGTCGCTCGGAACTAGAACTAACTAATTTACTAAAAAATAAAAGATTAGGGTTTTATATAAAATTTAGCTGACTCGTATTTATATATATATATATATATATATATAAATTAAGGTATTAAGCTCCTTATTTATATTAATAATATTATTATTATTATAAAAAACAAGTTAGATATAAACTAGTTCTTTACTTAATTATTTAATAGATTTAAGGCCAAGTCTTTAAAAGAAATCTCTAAGATTTTTAGCTATAAAATTATTAGAAATAAAAAGAATTATATTATTTATTTTAATTAAGAATAGTACTTAGTAATAGTTTTTAATTACTTTTTAATTATATAAAAGTCTTATAAAAAGAAATCTATTCCGGTATTAAATTATAAGTTATTATAAATAATTATTTTAAAAAAAATAAAAGAATTAATATTATAAAATACTAGTAAGATATTAGATATCTTATATTTATAATAATATTAATTTATTCGAATATAATATTTATATTTAGTATATTAATATAATTTATAAGTAATCTAATCGAGTATTATAAATATATATTTAAGAATCTAATAAAATATCTTTAATTTATATTAAACTAGAAAATTCGCTATAGTTTTAGAGAAAAGTTTAAGTATTTTATTCTTTATTTTAATATTAATTAGGCTAGTAATAAATCTAATTAGAAAAATATTAAAGAATATATTATAATATTTTATAAAGGGCTAATCTTATAATTAAATAAGAAGTAATATTTAGTAATTACTTCAAGCTATAAATTAGAATATATAGTATTTATTATATATATAAAATAAGAGTAATATATTATATAAATCTTTAGAAACTTAGATTAACTATAATATATTAGAGAGAATAAAATCAAGATTTATATACTAGAAAATAATTAGAAAGTAATTATTTTAGCTAAAAATCCTTGCTTTTGTAATTATTTCAAGTATATTATAATTAGCTATTACTTTATTCGAGGTCTAGTAAAGATATAAAAGGCCCAAATAACCTATATTTCTATAACTAAAATAATTACTAATGAAATAATAAAATCACTATTTAGAATAGTTTTTAAAAGATTTAAGAAAATACTAGAAGTAATCGGAAATAGAAAAGCTAGAGAAACAGAAGTATAAAACTAATATATTTAAAAGAATATATCCTAAAAAGAAGTATTAAGAAAATAGGTTAATAGTATTATATATAGATATAATACTATTATATAAACTAGTAAAATTATAGCTTTATAAGAATCTGAATTCTCTTTTTCTCTTTTTCTTTTTTTAATTAATATAATTGAGTTTTCTTTCTTGCCTTTACTCTTATTATATTATTTTCTTATTAGATTATGCTAGACTAAGGGATATATTTTTAATAATAATAGACTTAATAAAAATATTATTAAAATAATATTTTATTTAAAAAGCTAGAGTTATTTAAAGACGAATTAAAAGAAGTAAAAAAAAAGTAAAAAAGAAAAAAAGAAAAGATTTCGAGAAGAGAAATCTGTTTTTTATAAAAATTAAAAAAAGTAGTATTTAAGTAGTCTTATATAAGCTCTAGTTTAAATTACATAATATTACGTAATAAATACCTTATTTATTATATTTATATAACTTGTATATAACTACTTTTAAGTTACTCTAAAGTAGTACTCTATTCTACTTTACTCAAGATTACTTAAGATTACTCTAGAGTAGCTTGAATAGCTTAAATAGTTTTTGCCTATATTAACTAGCCTAATGCGCGTAACTAAAACCCAGCTTTTAATAAGTTAAAAGTAAGCTTTTTATAAAAGTAATTAAATAAGAATTTATATATAATATTCAATAATTTATTAAGCTATTAATAATTATCTTACTAATACTTTAAATCTCCTTTACCCTACGGTTTCTCCCTAAATCACTTCGAACTTTTCTATTATTCAAAATATCCTTACCTGTGGCCAGGATTCGAAGCTTCAGTCTGAGCCTGTCTCCCTCTCTCCTTCTCCTTCTCCTTCTCCTTCTCCTTCTGCTGCTTCCGATACTTCCACACCTTCCAGCCAATGCCGAAGAGCATCGTAATCACGCTACAGCCTATCGAGACCGAGACTCCTGCGATGCCCCCAGGACTTAGGGTTGACTGCTTAGGGGCCGATGTCGAGGTCTGCGTTAGCGAAACTGTGCTCGGTATGCTTGTGATTGTCGGCGTAGATTTCGAAGTTGGAGCGGCTGTCGACTCGACACCCCCCGGTGCGAACTTGGATTGGGTAGACAGCCTGCCAGGAATACCCCCAGTCGCTGTCCAGAGTCCACGTGGATGTGGAGAGCGTCTTTTGATCCAAAATGTTATCGACGACGATGACTGCTGTTGCGGTCGAGAGCGCACTCTGGCAGTATTGGAAGAAGCCGCTGGCCGGACAGCCGTAGTCTTTCAGTCATGGCTCATGAGCAGGTGAATCTTTGGCTTGGTTTTGTTTTGGTGGTGTGGTGTAAAGTGAGCTCAACTTAACTTACTTGTTGGACAGCAGAAGGCGATCGTCTCATCTGGAGCCGTGCTCAGTGCCGAAGGTGGCATGGGCCCGTGACAGGAACGATATTGAGAGGGACAGACGCCGGGCGAGTAGTAGCTTGTCATCCATGCCCAGGCTTCAGTGTAGAAGTTTCCGTAGGGGCAACATGTGCTCGCTGCACAGCCTTGCGTCATCTGCGTCCATGGCATTCCGAGCGCCGGCGTGTTGAAGTCCCAGAGACTCGCCAGACAGTCGCTTGGGAAGGCTGTTGTGGGCAGCGGCCCCAGGTTTGTCGAGGTCGTCCATGGTGGGATAGTTACCTCTACTGTTCCGGCAGTGATAGTTGTCATTTTGAGCCTTTGGTCGTTAGAGATGGAATGCAAGTCGGGATGTTGTTGAAGAGATTGGGAGATACTGTAGACGATTTACATGCTGATCTCCTTGAGAGTGGGAGAGTGGATATCAACGCTGCTACAAAGATGGGCACAACTCCTATTATCAAAGCTGCTTCCAAAGCGCATGTGTCCACGGTCTTGATGCTCTTGGAAAGAGGTGCCGATCCGTACTTGGAAAATTGGTACGGCAATGCTTTGCATTTCGCGGCCGAAGCTGGGCAATCACTAACGATTGCAGAACTCGTGACTTACGGCATGAGTCCAAATGCTTGCGAGCGCTACTGCAGGAGGCCACTCAGCTGCACAATTGACAACGACAGCGCCTCCGCATTCGAGATTCTCGTTGCCCTTGGAGCAGATATCGAAGCGATCGATGTGCACCGTGGGCTACCAATATTGCACAGTGTAGCGTTTGAAAATTGTCTCAACATCATGGGTACTGTTTTGAAGCATAATTGGGGTGATTTGCAACGCAAATCGGAAAAAGGGCACACACCGCTGCACTTTGTGGCTATAATGGGCAATCTTTTGATGGTGCGAAAACTTGTAGAAGCTGGTGCGGATGTAGATGTAAAAGATCGCTAGGGAAGAACACTACTGTATCTTGCGCACACCGATATCGGTTAAGGTTTTTGAATTGGGCTGATTTGATGGGCAATGGATGTTGAGCTGCGGACTGAGCTTTTCCAAGATACGGGCACTACGAAGGCGCACAGTTTTGAAAATCGTCCATTTCGCTAAGCGAGATCCTCAAAAATCTTCCCCACTTCTTTGAAAGTCGCAATAAAACTCCCTAGAGTTTTAGAATCACTGAAACACAAAGGAAAGATACTTGAGATTCTTCTCTTTTGCCTAGAGCTTAGTTTAAAGTGTTTGGACGGAGTAGCATTGCGATGCGCAATTTTTAAAAGTGTGAGATTTGGTGTTCCTCACCCCGCTAAAAATGGACGATCTTCAAAACTGTGCGCCTTCGTATTAGTTTCATTGTGACAGCCGCGTGGGGGACACAAAAAGAGAGGCTAACTTTCGTTCTCCTTACTTAAAGTTGGACACTGATCTGGACTTGGGGAAAAGGAGACGTGAATGATCCAAAGCTTGGAGATTTTAGAAGAGTTATAAAACAAATGTACGAATATTGCGGCATAAAGTCATGCGACTTCAGCGTATGTGCCCTGTAGTGGCTGTGGCTATAGCGCCACGCTGTTGGCCCAGTGACTATAGCGCTCAGACGCTGGAACTTAGAGGTCTTATAGGGCCCTTTAGCGATCAAGCCCCTATACTTGCAGGGGCATACCCTGGAATTGTCTTTCAATCCCTGAAACTCCTTACATGGCTTAAGCCTATGGCCTTAGTAAACCTCGCTTTACAGGGGCAGGTAGCCTATAATTTAGGCACAGACCCACTAAGCTACAGGAGCTTCCAGGGCACTTTCGCGGTGGTGGCTTACAGGCTGGTTTCAGATTACAGCGTGTGATTAGTGGCTGGGACATCATGTGCCCTGTAGTCGCATGACTTTATGCCGCAATATTCGTACAGGAGCGCCCAAGCAAATTAGGTAACAGAGTAGCAAAATCGCCCCACAGACTTGATACTTTCAAACACCGTTTTTGTGTCCACCACGAACTGGCTTAAAATATAGTTGGCAGTGTATCAGCCGAGTGGTAGCATATGTTTTGGCGGAGGATGGAGGGTGGAGCGGTCTGGCCCAGCCATATATAGGGGACATTATACCAGTAGAGAGGTAACCATGCAGACGGCTTTTGAATCTAGTCTAGGACGAGTCTGGCCTTCACTTGGCCTTGGAGGGGAAAGTAAAACGACCCTCCCCCCCGGTATCAATTAGGGGTGTCGATTAGGGCCACACTAACCGAAATCAGTAAGCGGTGATACGCGCCCGTATATACTACTTTATATATAGTAGTTGTTGTACGGACACTGGTGCGGGTACTAGGAGCTTAGCTTACTCAGCAGCCCCTTTATTTAGCTAGATCCAGAGGCTCCCTATAAGCTTCTAATCAGATAACCATTTATGCAAATTACTGTTCCTTGCTCTTTGCAATAGTAGTATATGCAAATTAATATATATTGGCACCCAGTACACGTCTCGCATTTTGCTTTAATGCACCGTAATGCATATATTATTATTATTATTTCCTGACAGATTTGGTTATTGTGACAGCGGGATCAAGGCAATGGTCGAAGGCTCAAAGTTCCGAGAATCTCATATATTAAAAATACTAAGCCGGGGAATAAAGTAGGAGGAATATCTCGACCTTTTAGTATTGTCCCGCCCAAGCATTCCGGCTTAGCTTCGTTTTGTACCTGTTTCCGATATCCTGTCCTTGGCAGATTATGCCGTTACGCCAGCCGTTATATCACCCCCCCCTAAAGAAAAGTCTAAATGCCCTTATTTAGAGGATCATTTAGCAGTAAAGACAAAAGGAAAAAACCACAACTATTGACCCAATTCCGTCTATTTCCAGCAGCTTACTTGAAATTGAAGCGTGGTCTTGACTTTGCTAAAACAACCCAGTTCCTAGTACGCTCCGGCCAATCCTTCTTACCCATTGCCCGTATTATGCCTATGCCTATATTAATAATATGGTCTGGAAGTACGGTATAGGCTATAGCCGATATTGGAACTATTATTATCGGGCGATCTTCAAATGGGGGTGGCAATTTAAGTCCATCCGTCGAGACAGGTTTCGTTATAGCAGCTTGCTTGCCCTTTTTCTTGCTTGAAGTGGTAACGTTTTGCTTGGTTGAGTTGCTTTTGAGCTGCTTGATCTTATTTTGGGCCTTCTCGAGCTTGATATGGGCATTACTGAGTTGCTTATTTATAAGGGCAATTTGTATATTGAGGCCGGATATTTTAGCTACTTTGTTATTAAATTTCCGGGCCTTGAGCTTTATGATTTTCTTCTTATAGGAGCCTTTGAGGGGTTTTCCGACTTGGTTAACGGTATTATATACTAATTCATTAATATCTATAGGGTATTTGTCTTTTTCTTTGGCCTTTAGGATTACTTGCCAGATTTTGATTTCAGACCAGTACTTCCGTAATAACCGCTGCTTAATATATTGCGCTTCTTGGTTATAAGAGCGCGCGCCTTTGCTCCGCGTACACCCCGATATAAGCGAGACTACCCCTTAATTTTTCAATCACAGCTCTCAATATACTCTGCAAATATATCAAAATAGACGATTCTCTGCTCTCGTCACCCGCTATACGCGAGCACCAGCCTGGAATGAAGTGGAAGACTCCTGAACGGTCCAAAATCAGGGTATGGTACGCAGACGGCAAAAGCTATGGCCAGATCCAGAAGTTATACGGTATACGCGACGGCAAACCTCTCATCTCGCGCTCTTCACTCCAGAAAATCATCAAAGCACCTACCTCCAGGCGTCAAAGAAAGGGCAAAGTAATAAAGCAAAAGCTCTTAAAGCCAAAAGATATAGTACGCGTAATCCGGTTCGCATCTGCAAGCTGGCATAATCGACGTCTCTCTTACGTACGTCTTGTAATCAAATGCAAGCTCAAATGCAAGACTATAACCCTTCGTTACTCTCTTAAAGCAGCTGGATATCGCCATTGCATCGCTTACCGTCGCCCTTTTATCTCGAAAAAGCAAGCTGCCAAGAGACTTGCATTTGCCTTAAAGTATCGGTGGTAGTCTGTAGAGCAGTGGAAGCCAGTCGCATGGAGTGATGAGGCAACCTTTGAGACTGGGAAAAGAGAAAAGATTTACGTAACGTATCGGCTGGAAGAGAAAAATTACAGAGAGTATATATAATCTATATATAGAAGTAGGAGAGTAAGTATAATGGTCTGGGCGGCAATTGGGTGGGAATAGAAGTCCGAGCTCGTATTCTTGGAGAGAAAGGAGGGAAAGAGAGGGATCTGTAGTACGATATATAAGAAGCAAGTTCTTAATACTATAATTAGACCATACTATACTTCCTTAAGCCCTAAGTAAAAGGAGAAGTTTATATTTATAGAGAATAGAGCTAAGATATATAAGGGGGCTACTCGCTTATAGAGATTAAATTACGGGATTAAGGGATTTAACTAGCCATTATTTTCCCCGGACTTAAATCCGATTAAAAAGATATAGAGATAAATAAAGTATAAGATTACTAAGCTTAAGAGTATACCGATATTAAAGGAAGATATAAAGGAGGTTTTATATAAGCTATAGAAAGAGGTAAAGCCAGAGAATTAGAGATATTTAATTTATTACCTAACTTATAAGCTTAAGGATATTATTAAGTATAAAGATATATAAACTATATATTAAATTATAATAATATATCTAAATAAATAAATTATATAATTATAGAATAATTAAATAAGTAATAATTAAGAAAATTATACTTATATTAAGATATATATAAAATAAAGGTATATACTCTTAATAGATATTTTATTACTAATTTAGCTATTCTTATTATTATTAGATTTCTTTCTAGTATTAGATTTTTTATTATTATTAGATTTCTTACTACTTTCTAATATCTTATACTTTTTAGATATATTACCTTTATTTTTATTAACCTTTTTAGTATTTGAACTAGTAAGATTAAAGTATTAATAATTCTTATTAGTATTATCTATTTCATTTATTAGGCTATCCGGTATATTATTACTAGTAGCCAAATTCTTTATTTTATTATTCTTAGAAGGCTTTACTAAAATATTTTCTATAGTAATTTTAGATATATTCTTAAAAGTAATATAGGCTATATTTTATATATTAACTTGTTTTTAAGTAAAGAAATTACTATTACTTAAGTTATTTAGAATCTAGTAAATAGCCTTATTTAGTCTGGCCTCAAATAATATATTAATAAAATATATAATAATAGAATAATATATAAATAATTAAGATAAATAAGCTATAAAGTAATATTTATAAATATAATTAATTCCAAGAATTAATTCTAATAAAAAACTAATTAATACTTCTTTCTAAAGCTAGAAATATCTTCCTATATATTTCTTAGTATTTAGTTAAGTCTATAAAATACTTTATTTAACTAGGAAATATAATATTATATAATTTATATAATTCTAATTACTTATATAATTCTAATTATAAGCTTTACCTAAAATAGGAAACTAGATCTATAATATCTAATACTTATTTATATATTATTATATATATCTATTATATTAATTTCTTTTTTAGGCCCTTATTCCTAAAAGGCCTAAGAAAACTATAAATAGCTTTATAAATAATTTCCTAAAACTTTTCCGGCTACTAGTTTTCCCTAAAAACTTCTTATAATTACCTTATTATTATATTAGATAATAGAATTAAGAATATAATTTATTAATTTTATCTAATTAACTTATAAATTACCTCTAGTAATTTTCTTTTATAAAAGTAATATAGATATAGTATATATTATTAGATATAAAGCTTTTCTGGTTTTCTAATTAGTTTATAAATTCTAACTTAGTTTTTATTTATAAATAAATTATTACTTTATAGGCCTAAAAGCTTAGAAAAATTAATTTAATTTTCTAGTTTATTTATAAAAATTTTTTTGGAATTTTCTAGATATTTCTAATATAAAACTAATTCCGAATCCGTAATTACTATTTGGGAAAAAAATATTATAAAAAGGCCTTTCTTTTCTTACTAACTAATTTTCTTTTTCCCTAATTATAATATTATATCTAGCTTTTTCTTATTTCTTGCCTTTTT